CATAGCCGCTTATCCACAGTCAGGCCGAACGGTTCTCATTGCGTCCGTTCCATTCCGTAGCTATCCAGGCCAGCTGGTACGGTTTCATTTTCCACTTGTGGGGCTGATTTTGGACCAATTTGGAAAGTAATACTATCTGTCATTGCCTTGGTATTATAACGATTTACTGATGACATGAGATGATTTCTTTTAATTTTATTATGCATTGGTGTTTATGCCACTCAAATACCACAATTAGTCAGCTACAGAGAAACTGGTAGCCAAGCAACAGACAAGTGACCAATCATGAGTGGCAGCATCACTACACACATTTTACTAGCATGGTTCAGCACAGTGCTGAAAATTACGGATCGAGAACGATTTTTAATCATGCTGTGCTGTACCGTACCAGCCTCAAGTGGAAACATAACTGGAACCGTACCTTAAGGTTCTTAGAACCGTTCAGACCGACTGTCTAAAAGTGGTTTGTAGCCTGAACAGCCATCAACGGATGATTGCATCTTGGATAGCATTAGCATGGTCATGGTAGCCGTCCAATATGTAAAAGTGCATTAAATGACCAACTGTAAATACTCCCCATTCGTTTTAAATGGCATGTCCTAATTTGAAATCACAGTTTGATGATCAGTTAGACTCCAGTACATAGGTTTACATGACACATTAGCTTCGTTTCAGGCTAAAAAAAAAAGGTGATGACCTGAAATGATCTAGATCACCTCAACTAAAACTCAACAGTGATTTCTTCTCCACTTCAAGAGTGTATTTTCAGTCCTTCATATTTCACTAATCCTGCAGGACCGCCAAAGAACACATTCCCCTCCTTTCGGTACAAAACACACATGGAATTCAAAGGGATGTAGGGGCTTCTCTGCATACTAGTCTCAGAAAAAAAAAGTTATGCTAACTGATCTCTAATGACTTCAGTTAAAGTCACTCACACACCTACCTCCTAGTGAGGAGGTAGAATCTGTTTTGTGGAGCTCTCTGGTGTTTTTTGGTGAAAATATTTTTATATAGTTTTTGTTGTCAAAACAAAAACTATATAAAAAGTTGCCAGATTCTGTTGTCAAAGATTTGAATGTCTATCCAGTTCTCTTGATCTGATTAACATGGAGGATGTTACATTTTATGTGACTTTAATATAAACCTTTTAAAAAATAATTCAGATACATTAACTGCAGATTTTCTCAATATACTTTATTTTAGTTATTATTTTTCCCTCTTATTCATAAACCTACTCGTATAAAGGAGAATTCAGCAACTTTGATAACATCTTATTCTTAAATAATTTGAGTGAAGGAATGAAATCTGGAGTTTTGTATTTAGATCGGTCTGATCATTTCCCTATCCAATACTCGTTAATCAAGTTTAATACAACTAAACAAATAAAAAGAGAAAAAGAATTATGAGAAAGCTAAATGTTTATAAATTTATAGATATACTTGCCAGTACTCCATGGAATGATCTTTACAAAGAAAAAAAATGCTTATTTTGCATATCAAAATTTTATGAAAATGATTAGAGGTAGTTTCAATGAATGTTTTCCAATTATTAGTTATACTAGGAAATATAGTCAGGCCTTTAGTAAGCCTTGGTTAACAGTTGACTTTTGAAGCTGCTGAGGAAAAATAATAAATTGTACAAAAAATACATTTCAAATCCCACACCCCTTACCTTACCCATGGTGCTTATACATCTTGTAGTAATAAATTGACTTAATACACATAGATTGTCAAAAAATAAATATTTCTATGAAAAATCTGAGGTGTTCAAATTAAAACCGCATGCAAAGTTATAAATCAGTTGCTGCAGATAAGACTCATTCAAAATTACCTTAAGTTTTTTATGAAGGTGACAACTCTTTTAATAACTCATTTGATATAGCTAAAAAATTCCTGATTGTAATGGTAATCCAATAGATTAAATTATCCTCCTTTTTGTTTTTTTCAGCCACCTGATGTTCAAGAAATAAGTGATATTATTTATGAACTGAACACATCTCCAGAAAGCCAAGATAACATTTCTTCATTCCTTGTCAAAAAGATCAAGCAGTTTATTTTGCAGCCACTGTTTTTTTTTTACTCTCTCTCTGAAAACAGGAGTTGTACCAGATGATTTAAAAGTTGCCAAAGTTATTCATCTGTTTAACAGATGACCCTTGTTGTTTCAATAATTATAGACCCATATCCATATTGCCTTGTTTTTCAAAAATATTAGAAAGTTAAAAGTTAAAAAGTTGAAAGTTAAAAAAGTTATATACAAAAGGATCTTTTTCCATCTTGATTCTAATATAATTCTTTACAAACATCAGTATGGTTTAGGAAAAGATTGTTTCAAACAGACAACAGTTTGTCTGGCTTTGTTGGAATAGCATCCATTAATACAGACTACCTTGTGGGGTCCCACAGGGGTCCATTTTTGGACCATTATTATTTCTTATTTATATTCATTATTTGTCAAATGTGTCAAATATTCTTTTCCAATAATGTTTGCAGATGACACAACTTTAGTTTATTCTCATTCAAACTTTAATTTTTTTGATTAAAAATCGCTGAATACAAAAAAAATCAAATTATATCATTTTAGTGGGAAAAAAAATCAAAAGTCAAAATAGAGACTGTTGAGAAATCCCAAGTTTTTAACAAGATTCCTTGAAATTTTTGTTGATGAGAACTTTAATTGGAAAACACAAATTGACTGGGTTAGCAACAATAAATAAATCTATTGGTATAATTAATAGGATTAGCAATTGTATTATCACAAATTGTCTAACCCTAACCCTAACCCTAACCCTTACACTATTACAGTTTAATTTATCCATATCTTTCATATTGTAAGATAATTTGGACTTTATATAATTTTGGTTCAGAAATGTTTTGTCAGGATTGTAACCCTGATTTGAGTCATATTCTTCATCTGTGCCTCTTTTTCAGAATCTTTATTTATTTAAGGTATATTTAAATTATGAAAATATTCCAGAGCATTTCAAGATTTAATTTAAATTTAACTCACAGGTTCACTCTTAGTCAACTCGTCAGTCCTTAAATCTTCATCTTCTAAAGTTTCTTACACGCAGAGGTCAATTTATTATCAGATTTAGGGGTACCAAAATATGCAACAGCTTTTCCCACCTAGCAACAAACTCCTCCTCATTAAAATGTTACAAAATATATTTAAAAGCCCATTTAACTTGTTTTAAAATTTGAATATAGAAATGATCTTACCTTTATGTTATGATCATATTTTTTGTTTGTATGTTTCTATTACTGTCATTAAAACTTGTTGATGTTGTGTGTATACATGTATGTGAATGTGTGTGTTATGGATATATGTATAGTTTGTTATTACTTTTATGTAGTAAAATATTTTTGGGTTTTTTATGTTCTTTGTTTTGATGTTATTGTAATTATGTCTATATGTGGAGGCGTTAAATGTTTTATTCTGTTTATATATTTTATGTTTAGTTTATTGTAATTTTTTGTCATTTTTAAAGGTGCAAAATATATAAAAAAAATAAAATTAAACACACATAAGGCATTGAATTCCCTCTCTTGTGTTTAATTACTTGCATTCTAAAAGGTTACAACCGTCAAAAGATGGAGCGATCAGGACATGGACTGTGACGTCAGCCTGTCAACTGACACTACGAGACGAGTGAGAGTGTGTGTAAAGAGGTCAAGAAGAGGGGAATCAGAGGGAGTGCATACAGGGCACTTCTGAGCAGTGATATCTGACACAGCAGATAGCAAGTCTCAAACAAACCACTGTCTCCAGCGTTTCCCAAAGGGCAGTATAGGACTACGAAACCTCTGAGTACCTATTTGAACAAAGGTTAGAGTGCATTCAGTGATTTCCTTACTAGAATACTTAACCATTTTCACTAGACCACAATTGCTAATGGTCACAGAATAAACTATCACACTGCTTTTTAAATTCAATGGTCTGTTGCTAAGGAAGATCCCAGAGGGCTGAACCTATCAAAGAAATGCACAGTTTATTCTGTTATGAATTTCTTCTCAATTTTGTCCAAGTGGCCTTATCAGCTAGGGTCAAGAAAGATATGATCCACATGATGATCGGGAATTGCAAAAACCTACAACTATGCCATTTGATTTGCTTCTATTTGAGTATAAAGTGTATTTGTATAAGGCAGGAACATACAGTAATAATAATTGTGTGCGAATATAACATTAATATTAACTTGATGATAAATATGGAACTTTTATTTTGGTTTTTACGTTAATAAATGTGTAATAAACAAATTAATGCGTTCATGTTACGTTACCTCACCTAATAACTCATGTTTACAAATGAAACCTTATTGTAAAGTGCTACCAATACTAATTGATCTCGATCTTAAATGTCTCACAACAACAGCAACAACAACACCACAAAGTATAGCTCTAGCAGAACAAGTAACGTTATAGTTCCATCAAAAATAGCCGAGAACAGCACATGGGAGGTTGTAAAATCAGAAGCAGCAACTTCTGGAAGCAGGGGAAATTAAAAAAAACTATCTGAAACACGCTCACGTTATTATTATTTATTAGAGCATGTCGGACCAACCCTAGCAGCTGAGCACTCACGATGAGAGCTGAGTCTACCCTGTTGCTCAGGGCGAACCCACCCAGTGATGTCAGTGTCAAGCTCCGCGTCAACACTCTGCTGAAATAAAGCAGACCCCTTCCTCGCATCAAGGATAGTGGGCTCGTTTCATTGTTTCTGTTTGTCCTGTCCAGTTCAACTCAATGGAGGGGCCGGTGCACTTGACAGAGAACTCGCGCTGTCAAGTGCACCCGACCGTCGGCTCGAGCAAAACCGGACACACAAAAACAATGAAACAAGTCAATACTCGAGTTTGTTTTCAAAATAACTTCTTTTGATACTCCCTCAAAGACTAAACATTTAAGATTTGTGGTCATGTTTAAATGAAAACAAGGCTGTTAAATGTTTGTGGTCCCTGTATAGAAATAAGTTGTTATTAGATTAACGTTACTCACTCGAGCTGTGTAAGTATTGTGTTTAGGAAGTCCAGCCAAGACGTCTTGGGTTTCTTGGGCGGTCACTCCCGAGAATAAAAGTTGCTTCAGTTTGCTTTTAAAAGGTAAAAAAAATGCTGAATCTAAATTAAAATGTCCCAGGCTTGAGTAGGTCTTTGCGTCTAACGTGTTTTTCTTTCCAGGCAAAACGCCTCGTACAATATGCGTCCAACGAGGCAAGGCGGGCGGAAGTAATCCTTTTCTTGATTGGACAGTCAACTAAAATAGGGCGGGACCAAAGTGTAATCCTGAAATCTGATTGGCGGTTACATACTCAATCATATGCCACACCTGCCCTTATTCTCTACAAAAAATATATTCTTTATTATAAGAGGACAAGACAGGGAGAGTGTGCAAAGGTAAATAAATCGTAAATACATGTTTCTTTGTTGCTTTGAATGTTCTTTTGCCAGGGGGGATTTCCAGGAATGAAGGAGTAGTTGTGTTCGTACGACAGAACACCTGTCTTTCCTGTTCTAGAGCACATGACCACCAGGTTTTTGTCTATTTGAATATCTCGCCTATCTCTAGTAACTTGATTTGATCCGTCTCGACACGCTTAGTCCTTGCTGTCTCGCTCAGTGGGATTTCTTCAGTAAGGCAATTTACTACGCAGACTGGTTTGACAAGTTTGAAATTAGACAATGCTTCCTCGTGGATTCAACTGAGGTTGAGTTTCTCCACAACAAAAAGTGAAAAATGTTCACAACAAAGAATGGAAAGTTATCACGAATGGTTAAAAGAAAGAAAGAAAGAAAGACCCTCTTGGCTCTTCTTTTTGACGTGTGTACAGGGCCCAACTCGCATACAAACCACGCAACATCTTTACATTAAGACTACAGCACCCTCTTGCGGTCGACAAATGAGATTGATGACGCTGCACTGAGAACTACAAATGAAATTTTTGGAGTAAAGTTTTGACAGTGATCATTTCTACTTGTCATAAACTGGAAATATAATTCAACATTATGGCGCTTAAAGATGCGAGCGTGAAAACAAAGTTCTTGACCGAATAGATTCTTCTGAGGGTAACTCATGTCTTATTGACCATCAGTAGCTTAATTAATTAAAGATTCATTAGAGATATTTTAGAATGCTACCGTAATAGAGTGACTTGTTATATTTTCACTATTGTGCAGGTAAATGAGTGAACTGATTCTGGAAAATGTATCTGCAAAGAGGCAGCAGGAGCTCATAAAGGGCACAGACAATCACAGTGCTGATGCACCTGCTTCCATTGTTTGAATAAACAGTTTGTCTTCAAAAAGTGAGCTAACAACGATGTTAAAAGTTATTTTCCAGCATTACAGAGTCCCAAAATGCCTGTGAAATATTACTTGTGTATAATTTATGGCTTTGTTTAGAGTAGCTTATTTGTAACAAATGTCATAATTAATTCATAATTTCACATAAAAGCTATCATCTAAGGTCTTTGTTTTTGACTATTTTCTGTTAAATTAAAAGTTAGTTCCCAGTTCTATAGAAATAATAATCGTACAATGTTAAAATGAGTGGAAAGTAAAAGAAACAAATGAACAAATGAATAATCATTAGCAAGGTACCCATTAAATCCATCTGTAAACTACTTAGAGTTATATACTTGATTGTATGCTGTTTGTGGTTATTCAAGATTAAGTTATAAGCAGGAAAAACTGGTGAATCAAATAAAAAAGACTGGAAAAAAATTAGTCAAATCATATGAACACATCCATTGAAAGAAAATGGATAAATATGTTTTTGGATCAAATAAAAATGGCATACATTGGAAAATCACTTTGGTTTTGGAGAGTTATGAAGACATGAATTATATGTGAGAAGCCAACATTAAAGTCATGCCTGCTTGATATAACAATGAGATAAAACCTAAAACCTTCTGGAAGATCTCAAAGTTAAGATATTTGCACGGCACAATAGGAAAATGAGGACAAAATAACTGAAATGTTCTGTATGGAGTTTCATAATTGATGTACTGTAAAAGCTCCAGCTGAATTGAATTTGTTTCAAAACTGATTAACTTTGCAAGATCGACACTTTCACTGAACCAAATTGAATCAATATTTAACTTGAGCTGAATAATTATATTGTCTTGCTTTACAGCTTAGTTAAATTTGATGATTTTAAGCTTAATTTAATTTGATGATGAACTTTGCAACACTGACACTGTTATTGGACTAAATTGAGATGCATGACATTTTACAGCTAAAATTAAAGTTATTGGCTTATTTATTAATTTCTTGATTTTGCAAAGATGTAATTTTCTAGTTTATTTCTGTGACGTTGCCTTGAAACCATCTTGAAACAGGCTATATAATTATAAAAAAGCGCTATACAAATAAATTAGTTGACAGGATTTGAAATATGGATTAACTTTGGAATAAAATGCAACTGAAAATCTGTATGACCTGCAAATTGTTGTCCATGCGCATTCTCCATCTCATTTGTCAGAGTTGGCAAAAAAAAAAATTTGCATGGCAAAAATCTAGGCCAAATGTGCAAAGACTCAGAGACAAACACAACCCAAGAAACCTCACAGCTGTAGTTGCTGCTGGCGGACATTTGTTTGAAGCTATTGTCATGTTAACCTAATAGGCCTAATTGTGTTGGATGAACAAAACATGGGATTTGTGCCATTGCTTTTTTTAATAAGATATTTATTTATTTATTTACTCATATTAACTTAAGAAGAATCTCCGTTCCTCTGAAGAGATAGTCTATTGAATATTGATCGGGTAGCAAAAAGACTGGCTTGTGTCAGTAGAAGTCATGCTGCATCAGGACTTTTCTGGTTCGTCTCATTGGCGCTATACACTGACTCAACATGTCCAGTAGATTGCAGTATTGAGTTTAAATTCCAGCCACTGAAACTCAACTTCTTTTCAACTTAGCTTAATGACTCAAATTTCTCTATTAGGGATGGGTAGTTCGACACCCACTGTCGAAACACGTCTTGAGTTTTCGACACACACTGCGTCGAAACCATAGACTGTAAAAAAAAAAAAAAAAAAAAAAAATAGCGAAACAGTGTTCCGGTGGCGTGAAATAAGGCTGTCACGTGACCTGTGGAAACGAAGCTGATACGTCACGCCGGGCTCCAAAACAAAGCGCGTCGATTGCTCTTTTTTAATTTTATCGTCTATTCCCATACCCGCTGTATATTTATTTTAGTGCAATATTATAAATATATCAGTCATCCCTATACGTATGTAGCTTTTTGACGTGGTATATTGATGTTAATTATTCTTGAATGAAAATATGTGATTGCTTGTTTTTGTATTTGTGTTTCAACAATGTGCATGTTGTGTTATTTTGTAAGGAACACACAAATATGTCTATATTGGCCCAGAGAAGGCGAAAAGACACACGTTTGATGCGAGTAAAAATGAAGGAATAGAAAGTCTTTATTTTCAATGATATTTGTAAATTTAATTTGTGAAATACAAATTTATCGCTTCACACACACACACACACACACACACACACACACACACCGCCGTCTTGCTAATAAAATATGTATTCTTATTAAATATGCAAATAAACCTTAGAATGACATCCCAATGAACAAAACATCTGAATGCCACAGTCGGTGTGTGACCGTATTTTTATTGACCGCCAGGTGGCGAAGTAGAGCACTATGTCAAAAGCTTCGAATCACCAACACAGTTTAGTAAAAGCCTCACACTGCTTTAGAAACCTCGTTCGGCACATCAACGCCATACCTATTACTATTCCAAGCTCCGAGTATTTGTACGCGTTTTAGCCATGCGAACATCCAAGTATCCCTACTTCATGCATTTCCTAAGATCAATTCAACCAGTGGCCGGGATGACCCGAGAGTCGCCGAGTCGAGCCGAAGCGAGCCTCGCAGTAACCCGGATTGAGGTGCGAGGAAGGCTGAGCTTCGCTGTTCTGTAGATAGGGGCAGAGTTTTCAGTGTATGTGTGAGTGGGAGATGGACCGAGGGCGCTCTACTGACTAGCAGAGGCGAAGAGCGACTCCAATAGAACTATTAAAATCATATACGCGATCGGGTCGTCGATAGGCCACTCCAAAATCAAAATAAGTCGCCAATCTTTCACATCTACTTCACACACACTAACACGGCATTGATGGTAATGTATGCAAGGAAACAACCAAGACTCGGCGATGGGTAAAGAGCTCTGTTTTATACTCCGATTTTCCTTCTCCGCTTTGACAATCCGCCATTTTTAGCCAAACCAAAATAAGTAGAAACTTAAGGAAGCCGATTCAGCTGTTGCAATTTCTGCCACTGTTCGTCAAGATGTTTTTTTAAACTAATCCTCTTTCTCATTTTCTTGTTTTATTTTGTAGGTGCACCGACCGAAGGGATTCTCAGCCCTACCAGGTAGAACTGAAACAAATAAGATTAAAATGGGGTAAATCTAGTGCAGGCTTCTGAAGCAGTTTAGGCCCCTGTGCGTAAAACACAGCAAAAAGTGCCTTATTCTCCACGGATTCAGCTTATAATTACACACACATTTACATTACATTGCAAACATAAATATGTGCTGTCATTAGTCGCATGCCCGTCGAATTTATCATGTTTTAAATGCGCTCAGGGCGCTAGCGACTTTTAACAGGCTAACGTTAACTTAGCTCGCTAGCGGCTAACGTTACATCAGGCCTGTATGCCACAGCTGTTTATTTATAAATTACCAATATAGTAACGAGTTTTATCATTGATTCAAGGTTCTTATTTACCATATGTTATTTTTGAGAAACCTTTGTATACGTAAACAAGAATTTAAGGGTACGAGGTTGTTTATAAATAGTCTTGATAGTTGCGAGCGAGTAAATGCAACAAAATCCCAATAAAACGAGTGTTGTTATTGTGTAGACCATCCAGAGGTGCTTAATAATATGTTATACCAAGAGAAAGATGCTTCTAAGCCTTTCTGTGCTTAGTTCAGTCTTGCAATGACGTGCAAAGTATGTTATGACAAACATTATGTCATTATAAAGTATTTTGGTGTTTTGGAACATTTTAGATGATGGTCAATGGCTGGTAGACCATTCTAGACACGCTGTTCAGCTAGCTAATGACCATAGTAGACCAGATATAATCCAGCTCTAGTGAACTTTACATGTCAGAGAGTAATTGTGCAGCAGAGTTCAATGCAGAAATATCATGTTTTGACAGACTCTTAAGTACTCATCCAAGAGTCACCCCGATCACAGA